AAGAAAATAAACAAATAAATTAAAACGATTACAAGCAAAAAAAAACACGTAAAAATTAAAAGGATGAAAACAATTAAATTAATAAAAAATTACAGCGAAACACAGAATAACGAACACGAAGAAATTAAAGAAAATGACAATTAACACGGAAAACTAGAATGGAAAAGAAAAAATTAAAGGGGTAGAAATGAGAAGAAAAAACTGCGGAAATTACAGGAGAAAAAAAAAACGAAATTCAAAAAGGTAAACTAGATTAAAAAGAAAAACGAGCAAAAAGTAAAGTGAGTAAAAATTAAAATCAAATAAGAAAACTAGAATAAACAGAATAAAGAGTAAAAATTAAAGGGGGAGGGTGAAAATAAAATGGAGAGTAAAAAAGAAAAAATCAAAAAACTTTTACAATGAGGTCGCAATTATACAAATAAAATAAACAAACTTTAAACAAAATGCAGTTCAAAAGGGCAACAGGTCAAATCACACAAAAAAGGTCGAGTTGTCAGCAAAAGTCCAAAAAATAACCAGAAACCAGTCAGCAAGAACTTCTCCGACCCTGTCTGTCTTTTGACATGCCCCTATTTAACGTCTTTGTTTGTAGACAAGTTCATCTTCAAGAGGGGTGGTAGGTTTCCTACATAACAAATACGTAAGATAAATTCTGGCAAAGTCAATCACAGTAGTGAAGTATCTACTGTAGAATAAAAAATTATGGTAGCAGTGATGAATCTTCAAAGAAAGCTTGGTCTACGTCTGCTCGAAGGTAGGTTTTATTTTCTTTTAATGGTTTCACCCCAAGCAAGTCTATAATGCCACTAGAATGCAAGGGCTTACAAGGAGTTAAAGAGAATGAGAAGACTTTAGTTAAAGAGAATGAGAAGTGAGAAAAGGACAATAAAGAAGCAAAGTTCAAGAAGAGAGAGGATGGTGATTGACATTGCATTTTTGAAGATTGTAGATGACAGGGAAACAAGAAATTGGAAGGGAGTTTCAGAACAAATTGTCAGTTTTTATTTTTTTTCATCTCTGGAATTTGTGTTGGCCATGAAAATGTTAATTGATGTGCTTCACCTCCATCTATGCGACTATCAAATGAATGAATAGCAATTTTATCCTGTTGATGCTTATCTTCATAATTCAATATGCTCACAAATGTATCTTTTCAAATTACCATGGGTTTAAAATTCCATTCTTCTGATTGATGGAAAATAATCCAAAGGATGTGTTTTCTTTCCCAATTCTTTTTTTCTTTTAAACATTCAATTTTTATAATCCTGAGCCAGACAGAGCATTGGCATAAACAGACTCAAAATCAAGGCTTATTAAGAGTAGTGATAAGAGTAGTATTTTTTCTTCACATAAATTTTTTCTAATAGTTCAAAGATGCAGCAAAGAGTAGTTATTCACTCAGTTTGGAGATAAATATATCTTTGAATAATTTTACCAAACCAACAAAGAATCTTTTCAAATGTAATTCTCTCAAAATCTTTTATGGGAACTTCCCATATACATATGGAGGATAGGGATATCTCTACAAATACACCTTCATTCACCCCATTTTGCATTCTTACTATTTAGTTTGCATAGGCAATATGTTGTTGTTAATTGTATGTAATTTTTTATATGCTTATTTTCACTCTCTTGAGGAAACTCCGATGTGTACACTGTTCTCTCAATAAAATTGTTCTCAACATCATCTTGTTTATAAGAAATATTGAATAAAGATTAAAGGCAAAAAAGGGGGTCATATACTGAAGTAGATGTTTTCAGAAATGATTCCTCAGCTTAAAAAAACTCTTATTTGAAACAGCAGGATTGCAAATACACAATAGATAATAAAATACAAATTTTGCAGGTGTTGATAACAATTGTTTACAAAAGACATTTGATATATTGGTAATATTTGTGTATCTCTTCATTCTTAATGAAAGACAATATTTTTCTATTTTCATAGTTTATTAAAATCTATATAATAGATGCAAAACTTTTTCAACTTTACTCCTAGAGGTATTAGCACAACATATTTTGGAATCAGGCTGACTGTCAGTAAATTAAAAACATTCTAGGCCTGATCCGGACCTGCAATCCTGAAATTTTGGATTCCCAAGTTTTCATTAATGCGAATGTTTTCAGTGATTTTTTGTAACAACTTTTTTTGTACAATAATAATTTTTATAACTTGGAAATAAATTTGGGAATAATTGAAATTAACTGCAAAATCCAGCAAAAGTCACCGATGAAATAAAAATAATTGTTTCTACAGAAAGTAAGGCCTTATGTACATCAAAGTGTCTTTAAATTAACACTTCCACTGCTAACTATGGAGATCTTTGTTTTTCTTATTTTTGCATACCGCTGGTATGAGTGTCCCATTGCGCCATCTATCGTTAGATCACAAAGGACAATGCTTCAAAAGATATCATGTGTATACCCATTACTGATCTGGTAAGTCATTCCCAGGTATATCCATGAAAATGGAAGGCTGTAAAACACACTGGTGCCAGTTTTCTGTGTAATAAAATATGTAGGTTGAAATTTGGCATTTTCTTTAAAAATGGCTGGCCAGATGGGGGCAGCACTGGGCAAATGAGTAGCAGTAAAAGTTTTAAGTATCAGCAGAAAAATTATCGTTGAACTTTTAACAGCAGCCAGGAGGGCTTCCAATGCTGAGAATATGCACAGACTCAGGGACTCTCAAATTCCTGAACAAGCTGAAGGCCCAATCAAAAGCCTTCTGCAGGAGCTAGCTTAATTGCCAATCGATAATGCAGCTTTTAAGCTAGTATAAAAATATAATACAGTCATATCAAACAGAAAAGTATAGATAATTAACATCTTAAAATATATTACCAGATATGCCTAGTTAGCACCTTTCCCTGAAAATTAGAAAATAAGTTTTGAAATAGAAATTAGAAGATTAAAGGCTAAACATTTGGTTCATTTCTATTTTTTAATATTATGAAAAATTAAATATTTTAGTGAAATATATGTAAGACAGTGGGATTTTAATGGATTATATGGAACAAAATTTCAAAAGATATTTACATATGGATAACTGTACTATAGGGTCATATTATATTCGAGAGTGTAATTTATCCCCTGTTTTTAGCTTAGGAAAGGCATGGTCGTATTATACTGAATTTGTATTATACAAAAGACAGTACAATATCTATTCACTGAGATGGAATTGGGACGTTCTTTAATGTTTCTAATTATACAAGGTTGCTCAGTTCATGAGGACACATCTTTTAATAGCTATAACTTGTGATTTGAGGAATTGGAGAGCAAATTTTGAATTCCATTATAGTTCACTTATGTGCTAATACACTTGGGAAAAGTCTGAATCCAACACTTCTCTCCCAGCTATGGGTAAATAGTAGGACAGACTGGGTTCTATAGCCTTGGGTGGCAACCAATTTAGAAGGAGGAAAACTCTGAATTCAAAACGTATGCAGCCCTAGCAAAGCAAACACTATGCATCTAAGGAAAGGATCATTTGCATTAACTCGATGATCCTGACTAAGGTTATCATTTCTTTTCAGATAAATGATAACAAACATCAAGCTAGCTCAGTAAATGAAAAGGCAATTGTTGCCCTAAAGGCAGTGAATAGTGATTTAGAGATTGCTTGCTTCCTGAAAGTTGCATGGTTGTTTGTTGTCAAAGTTTGCAAAGAGCCAGAAGCCGCTGATGGGGAGTCTCAGGTACCATAGTGAAGAACTCATCTGAATAATTATCATGCAAGTATTTATAGAAAAGGCAACCTCATGGAGATGGGAAAGTGACTAATGCTGAGATGCCAGAATGGGGCCAATAATATTGCTGATTCTTTGGATTTGATCAAGGAGATCTAGATAGATAACATGGACCATATGTTGCAGCAATATTCTAAGCATGGATGAATGGCAGACATAGATATGTAAGATACACTCTGGAGAAAAAAAAAACTGTCTAGCATGTCACAGTGAACCAACCTTCCTGGCAGCTGACCTAGCAATGGATTCAATATAGTCTTTCCACTTCATGTCAGTCAAGAACATTAGCCTGAGAAGGCAAAACAAGTCACTCTCTAGGAGGTCAGCATAACTATAGCTAGGGGGAGAAATGTTGGATTTTAGCATGTAAGTGAATGTAATGAATTCAACTGAAATTCAAACTTGGCTTTCCAATTCCTCCATCTGAGCTGTAATCCATTACTTTGCCATGCTTACACTCTCTACTGTGCTTCCACCTCTAGTGGTTAGGATTCCTGGCTTTCACCCAGGCAGCTTAGGTTTGATTCCCAGTGTGGGAACATGTCCTTTAACCTTTAAAAATGAATTTAAATCAGACATTATGCTGTATTAATTCACAAAGGGCTGTTCAGCTATGAAAATATCAAGAAATATCCATTCTGTTTATGAAAATGGACATGACAATAATGGTTTGGTTAGCACTGATTGGAAAATTCTGCAAACTGTATTTAAGGGTATCTTAACAAAAACAAATGACAACATATATTATGAAATGGACTAAGTCCAACAATTATTTTAATATATTTTCTGTTTATATGTTCTTAATACTGTTTATTATAAACAGAGTATTTACTTAAATATTTGTATCTATAAAAATAATGTATAGAAGATATATTAAAAAAACTGTATTTACAAAAAATTCTGAGGAAACCATAGAAGAATTAGCAAAAGAGTTCAATACAAATCCTCTGCTCCAAAGCATAAAACATCTTCATGAAGTTGGATTGATTGATTTTTTATGGATTTTCAACCCTTTGCAGGTTATTTAAACCCAGAAAATATTAGACCGTAAGAATTTTTTTTGATAGGAATGATAATGGTTTAGTGAAACAAGTCTTACTAATTAACCCATAGCTGGAGGGAGAGGAGGTGGATTCATAACATTCACAGGGATATTTGCATATAAGTGAATATAACAAACCAAACTGGAATGCGACTCCCCAAGTAACAATTCCGAGTCATTATCCAGCACACTATCTGCACATCTAAGCTTATAGCACCTGCTATTCCCAAGCGGTCACCCATCTTGGTACTGACCAGGCTAGATATTGCTTAACTTTGGTGATTGTAAAGGAACTGGTGTTTAATGAAGTTGGAAAAGCATCCGACCTTCCCGCATGGACGACGGAGACCCCCCACAAAATGGAAAGTGATTAATTTTCCAAAAATGGGAAGTAATCAAATTTCCTGGCCTGACAACAAAGAGATTTTTTGTTAGAAATCGAGATTTACCGAGAACCCCAGGCTGCATCTGGCCCTACACCGGGTTTTGGTCGGTACCCATATAAACGAACGTCCTCAGGTCGTTCAGAGAGTTCTGAGTTGCAGTCGAGCTGGTTTTGGAGTTAGAGCTGACCGAGAGATTCCATGACCTCCGACTTCGCCTATCCTACCAATAGCAAGCTATACTGACGAACGAAGCCAAGCCAACACCTAAGAACTAAATCAGTTGAATTAAGATACCAACTTGCTTGAAACATAGAAGTGTCACATTTCGTAGAAAACGGGCTAGGAGAAAAACACACCCCTGTATATAATAGAAGGATAAAGTTAATTTGTTATTTCTTAACATACTTGAAACTCTTGGGTTTTTCATTTATTTATTTTTTTCCTTTGCACTTCTGCGATACCACCTTCAGTCTGGACTCAGCCTATGCTACGGCCCGACGCCTGATTGATCTCGTCTACCTAAGATCAAAGTCACAACGTGGGTAGGTTAGACTTGAGATCGAAGCAGTTACTCCAGTAACCAGATATTGCAAGTGAGCTGGGAACGATAGAGGTGGTATAGAACTGGTACAGCTGGTGAAGCTGTTAACATCGATGACCAGAATTCGACCCTGGATGGGCCAGTATCCCATATTGGTATCCTGACCAGGGGATTTCGCCGAGTAGCGATGACCACAGATTGATCGGGACACAAAATGCCGGTAGAAGAAACATTACAGTTTTGTGCCGCGACTGGGAGTTGACCACGGGTCGACGGCTGGGTGTCATATATTGGTGCCATGACCACCGGATTCGACCCTAAATTAACCACTGCCCCGGGAGTTGCAGAGAATTTCGCCCAGGACAACGTGGTGTCTCAAGTAGACAAACAGAAACAGGCTAGATTGGGAACCAAAGGACTTTGGTTAATTATAACCATACGGTTCCAGACTCTCTAGTTCAACAGCCCGAAACTGGAGAAGAACGACCTGGAAATCGCCTGTCAGGTGAGACACTTTTTTTTCGGTTAATCTCCCAATAATATTTCGATTGTTGTTGCTCTGATTGTGTGTTTTTTTCTTTTTTGAATTGTTTAAATATGTCTGACCACGACTCGGTTAGGGTAGACATAGAGGAAGAGGGTGTTGAGCAGGGATTGCCAGTAGACCTGAGGAAATTGTTGGGTGGACCTAGGATTCCAGCCTTTGATGGTAATTCGAAAAATTTTAGGGTTGGTTGGCAATTCTGGATAAGAGCCGCATAATCTATGAACTCTCAGACCAAGAAACCATGACGCCACGAGAGGGAAAGTGTCGGAATTCATAAAGGGGCTCTTAGCCAGTGAACCCCACTTGTCATGGGAAAGGCTAGAGGTATTGCTGACTCAGGAGTTTGCTGATGAGGGGACAGCAATAGAGGCCATGAGAGCCCTCCTGAAGATGACGTAGCTGAAAGACGAAATTCCTGAAGAATTAGGAACCCGAGCAGAGAAGCTGTCTTCATTAGCTTTTCCAGAGGAAGTAAGACACAACGCAGTAATGCAGGCCCAGTTGGCTGATTTATATATAGAGGCGGTCAGTGACGAGCATATTCGCCATGACGTAATGAAGGAAGGACCGCTAAGGTTATCGGCAGCAGTGGGACTGGCTAAAGAGAGCCAGGGAGTTTAGGAGAAAGTAAGAGGAGGTAGGAAGGCGCAAAAGCAAAGTCGGGAGGTAGGAAGAAAGGGGGAAGGGAAGAGAGACTCCGTATGGAATCAAAAGGTCAAGCAAGGGGTGGAGGAGCCTGAGGTGTGGGAAGAGGATCCCAAAAGAAAGGCTTGATTGACAAGACATTGGTTTTAAGCCCACGCCGGGTCGATATGAGCTGGTCTGCTGGACATGAGGACCACAGAGCGGCGGATGCCTGACGAAGTGGGGATTGCCCCCAGACTTTGATCAAGATAGATGTTCTAGGTGTGGAAAGAAGGGACACCTAGCTAAGTGGTGCGGGATAAGGAAAGGTGCCCCACCAATATTATTAAAGATGGCTTCACCTGGAAGACAGGACCAGGGAAAAGCCAGCGGACCAGCCTGAAAATAAGAGGGAGGGTGGCCCAGTTAAAAAGAAGGAGCATGAAATGTTGAACATGTGGCCAGGAGAGCCACTTAGGTAGAGGACAGCACCCCCCCCCGCCAGAAATAAGAGGGAGGGTAGCCCAGTTAAAAAGAAGGAGCATGAAATGTTGGATATGTGGTCAGGTGGGCCACTTTGCAGTTAACTCCCCAACAAGAAGGTGCTGGTTTTGTGGAAGACCAGGACACCTGAAGAGGAATTGTGTTTTCAGAAACGGCAGAAAGAGACTGGAAAGGGTTCAGCCAGGACCACCCAGGTGGAGAAAACGAAGAACTCCCCTATGTGAGGAGGATGACTGGAAATTGTTGCTGCCAGCAGCTATGGCCGGGATAACACAGAGATGGGAACCCAGGAGAAGGAAGGCCAAGGTGTTCTCTTCACTGATGCAAGAGAAGGAGCTGTCTTGTAAGGCAAAAATAGGGGGTATGGCAATGAAAGCTCTGATAGACACAGGAGCGTCTGTTTCATTGCTGAGAGAGAAAGAATACAGACGGGTGAAACAGAAGGAAGGGATGCGGGAAGCGGACATAGAAATCACACAGGCGGATGGTGGCCCCCTGGAGATAAAAGAGATGGCGAGGCTTCCTGTGAGAATTGGAAAATTGAGAAGTACCTAGAACTTCTACATAACACCCAGTCTGTGTACGGAAGCAATCTTGGGAGAAAATTGGCCTCAGAGCCAGAGAGCTCATGTAGAGTTTAACCCTACTGTATTAGTAGTAAATGGCGAGAGAACGCCATTGGGAGATCCACCAGAAGTTATAACAGTGGTTGTAGAGGAAGATATAAGGCTACCCCCTAGAACAGCGATGTCAGGTAAGAGTAGGCTGGTGACAGGGAAGAGAATGAGGAAGGAAACCCTGCAATTGGTCCCCGTAGAAGAAAAGGGCCTGGAAGAGAATGAGGTAACTCTGTGTGAGACAGCAGTAGAGGCAGCTGAATTAGTGCCTATTATGATGGTGAACCAGGCCCACAAGACAATAAAGATTAAGAGAGGAGAGGAGGTAGGAAAGACACTACCCTTGCAAACTATGAATTGAGTGAAATTCGATGAGAAACAAAGAAAATACGTAGAGCAACCAGAAGAAATAGCAGACGAAGAGATATTGGCACTTGATAAATTTAGGGCCAGAGTGGGGGGTCTGCTAAGAAATAATCGGGATGTGGTGGCCAAATCAGATAAGGAATTGGGCAAGACCCACACTGTAAAAATCGATCACCCCCGTGAAATTGAAGCCTAATAGAACCCCTGTTCATAAGAGACCCCCTTAGTGGAAGAGAGTGAAAGAGATGTTGGAAGCTGGGATGATAGAAAGATCAATTCCCCTTGGGGAGCTTCCCAATCGTGATAGTAGACAAGAAAGATGGCGGGCATCGTTTTGGTGTGGATTTTAGGTAACTGAATTCTATCTCTAAGCCTTTGGCGGTGCCATTGCCACTAATCGATGACATATTGGCATTATTGGGGAAAGCGAAGTACTTCTCCACGTTGGACTTGAGGTCTGGGTATTGGCAGGTAGCCCTTGATGAGGTTGACAAGGAAAAGGCCACATTTACATGTCACCTGGGACAGTTTCAGTTCAGGGTGATGCCATTCAGTTTGGCTAATACACCGGGAACCTTCCAGCAACTTATGTCAATAGTGTTAGGGAGGTGCAAGAGTTTTGCTATGGCATATCTAAACGATATTCTGATATTTTCAGAAACACCAGAACAACACTTTTTCCATCTAAAACAAGTGTTGGGAAGACTAAGAAAGCATAGTTTAAAATTAAAATTAACAAAATGTCAGTTTCTGAAGGTTAAGACTAGATATTTGTTATAAATGGAGAAGGTATTAAGCCCAACATGGATAAGGTGAAAGTTATAAGGGAAATGCCAGAACCTAAGTCAGTGAGACAAGTAAGAGGATTTATAGGGGCTATAGGGTACTACAGACGATTTGTGCCGGCATTCTCGAGAATTGCCATACCCCTAGTAGCACTGACAAAGAAATACGCTAGGTTCAAATGGACAGAAGATTACCAAAGAGCATTTGATACCTTAAAGGAGCAGCTGACAGCCGTTCCACTGCTGACGTACCCACACCTCAGCAAGCCCATGGTGCTATACACTGATGCCAGTGAGCAGTGTGTAGGAGCAGTTCTCACCCAGCCATGCCCTGATAGTTCAGTCACAGCCTGGATTGGTGCAGAGGGGACCCTGTGATGTCACTGTCTCGCCCCCATATCCAAAGAAAAGGAAGAGAAAAGCAAGGAAATCCAGTCAAGGGTTCTAAAGGGAAACACCCTAAACAAGAAGGAGACCTCAGTGAGTGGGAGGAGGAGGATCAGATACCCCTTTCCTACCTCAGAGAAAGGCTAAAGGAGATCTAGACGTTGAATCAACAAGTAATTAAGAAGTCCAAGGTACAGACTCGAAGCAGAAGGAAAAATCAAGAGAAAAGGAAAAATGACGAAACACCTCCTGAAGAGGAATTGAGCACTGAGAGAAGGTTAGAGGTCGAACAGGAACTACCTTTGAAGATGAGATTGAGAGGGGTGGGGAAGCCCAAATCTAAGTAGAAGAAAGAAGGCTGCAAAGAATAGAAGCGTTTGGTATCGACAGATAATGACACTGGCTCATCAAAAAACCTACTTGCTGACTGTGGTGGATGCGGATGGGGGGATGGAGGCGTGGGTTGACCTCATGAAGAACGAAAGAAGATTATTGGCATTGCTGACTGGCCAGCAGTAGTGTCATGAAGTTACGCCTTCAGAGGTGGTGGGGCCTGCGCATCTGTCCGGGCCAATCAATCTGCTAGGAGTTAGTTGGAGAAGGGAAGAGCAGAAAGATTACAAACTAAGAAAAGAAATTATGGAATAATTGAGTAAAGAATTGAATAAGACAGAATGGTTAAGAATAAAAACAAGAGAATCTTGTTGCCTTGCAGGAATGACCAAAATGAAGGGGTTGATGATGATGACGACGATGATGATGATGATGGTAGCCACGCTGATGATGATGATAGGGATGACTGAAGCTTGGAAGCACAGCCAAAATACCATTAAAAAAAAAACGAGTGAAGTAATAATAACCAGGTCAAAATGGTTGATCATATTCGTGATAGATTTAAATCCATCTGAGTTGCTGTTAAATAAACTAAGAAATGAGCTAAGGCAGCTGGATGCAGCCAGGTTGAAGATAGAGCAAGATTATTCCCAGGAGAAAGGATATCTCAGATTATTATATTCCCTAGAATTGGAGGCCACTATGATAGAGGCTCAATGGAGGGACATGAAAAATTACCTGAAGGAAATAGAGCTACTGCAGACGAGAGAGAAGAGATCGGTGCTTCCGATTGTTGGAAAAGCGTGAAATGTCCTGTTTGGAACAGTGACTGAAGATGATGTTAAAATCATAAGAAGAAAACTGGGAGAAGTGGAAATAAACCAAAGAACGCTAACTCAGGTGGCAAAGGAGAGTGTGTCAATATTAAAAGTGACAAGGTTGGAACTGGCCAAGAATAGAGCCAGAATTGGTTAATAAATAACCTAGCAGGGTTGAGACAAGAGATAATTAATGATACAGAAACTGTAATGATGGAATTACAGGAAATAAGTGGATTTATGCAAAGATATTTCCAACTAATGACAATTACGAATAAGGTACAACAAACTAGTCAGTCGTTGACAACCTTGCTGGAATATGTGAGAGCGCAATTAGACATGTTGTCATTGGGACACCTGTTCCCAAGCATAGCAACCCCAGGTCACTTAAAGGAAGTGCTACTCGGAATAAAAACTGAATTACCCCATCATTTAAGGTTGCCAGTGGATCTCACTAAAGAATTGTGGAAATATTATAGTGCGCTGGGATGTGTGACGTTGTTGGAAAATAGAAAACTATTAGTTTTGATGTCTATTCTGTTGTTGGATAGAGAGAGTATGTTCGAGATATACCAAGTTATAAATTTACCTATCCCGTACCCCAGAGGAGATCAAGGTTTGAGAATGGTGGCAAGATACAAGGTGGAAACAGAATACATAACTTTAAATTAGGGTAGAACAAAGTTCATGTTGCTAACAACAGATGAAGTTAAAAAGTGTAGAAATGATGCTCTGGGGACTTGTGCATCATTGAGCCCCATCTATGTAGCTGGTAATCATAAAATGTGCATGCTTGAATTGTTTGAAGGGAAGAAAGGAATTAAGAGAACTTGTCAAGTGGAGGTATTAGCAAACACGGCATTACAACAAGCTACGTTTCAGACGGGGTGTGGGCAGTGGCCACACAGAAACCAATCAGCTTGTATAGGGTATGTGAGGGAGAGTCCACAAGGACACTAAAAGTGAAACCACCATTATCCATGTTAAAATTGCCCCTGGGATGTTCAGCATTTGGGATATCCATTTCTTTACCCCCATATTACCAGGTAGAAGACACATTACAGTTTCACGCTGCGACTGGGAGTTGATCACGGGTTGACAGCTGGGTGTCACAAGGACTACATCTGAAAAAAGTTATGTTCTGAGTTTGGTGGGACATGAAGTTTTAAACCAGTGATTCTCAACCACTACAGTGTTCTGCAAAATATTGCCATGGGATACATTATATATATATATATATGTGTGTGTGTGTGTGTGTAAGTAGTAATGGTACACTGTTAATATTTGAATAAATGAATAAGTAATAAACTTTTTTCCAAATAATTTTTAACTATTCTTCAATTATGTTATTTTAAATACATTTTTTCAAAAAGTATTATTATTTTTTTAACAGCTCAAAATAAAACATTCGATGGTACCCATTGATACATTTTGGATTTCAATACAAAAGGAATACCTCACATTAGCTAAAAAGGCTTTATCAGTATTTTTGCAATTTTCTATTTCTCAAGTAAATTAGGCTTGAATAAATAACACCAAAAATAAGAAATGAGAAAGACTACAACTGAAGAAGAAATGAGTGTCTGCTTATCGCACATTTGACCAAACATTAAATTACTTGCAAAAAAACACCAGGCACAGGTTTCACACTAAACAAGCTGCACAAATAGTTCAATAGAAACATTGAAATAAAGTAAGTTCATATTTGTGTGTGTATTTTTTAAAAAATCTATGGTTTTATTTCATAACCTTTAAAAATTTTGCGAAGTGTGCCGTGATATTTTCATTTGCTCCCAGGTGTGTCGTTGCTTAAAAGGTTGAGAAACACTGGGTTAAACCAAAAGTAAAACAGTTAATGTGGAGAAGTATTGTTGTCAATTGCAAGCATTGCACAAAAAAAAAGCACCCATCATTGTTTAATTGTAAGGGTATGTTACTTTTACATAATAATACAAGACATGTTCCTGAGTCATCCAGGAAAAGATTATGACATTAAATATAGAATTCTCTTGACTTTGCTCCATTTATCATTTTTTTCAGATCATTGCAACATTTTTTAGAGAGAAAGCAAATGTGAAGCATTTTTGTTCTGTTATCATAGTACAACACTTGTTTTATTTTCCCTTGTCTGCTTCCTTTTACTTTAGGTATATTTTAGGTTAGTCAACTTTTGATCACATCCTCTTTAGCCAGTAGCATCGCTCGAGAGAGCGGTGCTTTTGGGTCTGCTGTATAAGCCTGTATCAAAATAAAAGTGGTTTTAATGTCAGGACACTAATCATGGTTGAAGACCTTTTCAATTTCAAGTAAATTAAGCAATGGCATATGTATTTCAGCAATTGTTACCTTGGCCGAACAATAAATATTATCCAGTGATATATCAGGGCTGTTTTATTATGGTTGACAATGTGAAACCTGTGAATGGACTAAGAGTGCATTCTTTAATGCTGTAACACCTACAGTGTGTGTGGGGCACATTTTGGTTGTTATCATATAAATTTCACTTTCCTCGATAGAAATTGATTTGAGGGTATGTGTTGCTTTATTTTTTGTATTTTGGGCTTGTCCTGGAAAACCCAGAATAAACAACAAGCTAAAAGGCTCACTTTTTATATACTCCAAATTCTATTCCTAACATAATAGCATTACTAATATGTAATTTTTTATCTTTTTTTTCTCTAAGTGTTGGACTCTCTTAAGATCATATTATTGTATGAACATCTCTTTAGCATAACCACTTTTTAAACTATTTACGTTGTTTAAACTGTTGTCTTGATCTTTATAACTGTCATCATATTCATGACATTTCGGCTATTGTATGCTTTGGCTTTCTTCAGTTGATATATGTTGGGATTGCAAACAGAACCCTGTTCTAGTTCCACGTGCCATGCCTTTTCTGGGTATCTCAGTTTTCAGTCATTTCCCTTTAGTAGCTCAACTCTCCAAGTTTTTGTTCCCCTCTGCTGTAGCCACAACTCACAACTTTTTGGGTCAAATCACTTTTGGATTACTTCAACCAACGCATTTAACCACTTGGCCATCACCTGATGAAGGCAGGAGTGGACAATGGCTGAAACATCGTGACTATGACAATAAAGATGAAGGGCAACAATGCAAATAGTGTAAACAGTTATAATACCTCATCTCAGAAATATAGAGAGATGCAACAACTTTGTGCACATTTCTTTTGCTAGTTGTACTTTGTCTTATCAAAGCCTTTTTACTGCTGTCACACTGTATATTTTAACGTGATTGTTACTTCCTTGTGTTTAGCAGATTAAATTATTATAAACTTTAAACATAATTCCAGTCAGATAACTACTTATGTCTGTTTTCCACTTCGTTGTATTCAAAACTTTGCTTTCTCAGTCATATTTCATCTTCCTTTTGTCTTCCATTTATTTCATTCTAATTTTAAAAAATGAATTATTTAAACAAGAAATAAATAAAAATGGAATACATGTATATTTTCAAAACTTAAGAAAACCCCAGAATATTTGGGAAAAATTTGCCTAAAACTAAGTCCTGTGTATAATGCCTGAAATAACATTGTTACATTATTTTGACATGCTGTGATGAAAAAGAGATCTCATTAAAAAAAACTTGAGTTTTATCAAACTATTAAGTCATTGTATTACACTGCTTGACAATGATATATTCTTTATTATATTGTTAGATTATATTCAAAATATAAAAACATAGAAGAGTTCATTTGAAATACATTATTGATAATTTATATTCAAATTAGAGAAACTTGCTGAAATTTGAAACAGAGCAATATAGACCTGTATAAAAAAAATAGCCAAGTAGAAAATCTGTTCAAAGCTCTTGAGTCTGTAGAAAACTGAAAGCTGATTGGTTATTTTTAACCAATGAATACACTTCTTTTAAAAATGTACATAACTTTTTATTATATTATCATCTTTATAAAGTATTTTGCTCGAAATAGAACAGTCCATGTATAAAGAAAAAATCCAAAGCCATGTGGGATAAGAAAAGAGAAAAAAACCTTCTTTTTCTCTCTTTTTTTCACTTGTATCTTGTTTAAAAACAAGGTAGTAATGAAGTAAAAATATAGAGTTGGCAAAAAAATTGGTTTTGTTTAGTCAGGTCAGCAGTATCATGAGAAAGGCAGATTTATAAATATATTGGCAGTAATCAGATTCTATTTTAGTCTTTCTTATCAATCTGGTCTGAAAAAAAAAATTACTGTATTACACAAAAGATGATGATGGGACTTGCAAGTGATCAATTGAATTATTAGAATCATTCTTCCGGATTGGAATCACCCTGAAATAAAAAGAAAAAATGATTATAACATTGATTTAGAAAAAAAAATTGAAGGAGTTTGAAATGGAACAATAAAAAAAAACACAAACAGGTACTATCTTTACAAAGTCACAGTTATAGCTTTCTCTTGATCCCATTATTCTAGGTAATAAAGAAAATATCCATTGAGAGTCATGAAAATGAATTGGCTTCTCTTTATAATGTAAGCCTAACATCTACATTTAGCTGATGTGTCTTGTTGGTTATGATAGTTGTCTTAGTAGGGTTATGTGGAGTGATACCCTTCTGCAGTTGAAAAATGGTATCATTGTGTTCTTTCAGTTGATTTAGTTGAATGAAGCCCATGGTTAGATGGAGAAAACAAATAAAACAAATACAATTGAACAGTTACAAACCATATTTTATTCAATTCTGACTTGAGTTTAAGAAAAAGAAGAGAATAGTCTCTTCAAGATATGACTTACAAGATTCTGAAGGTGGTTTACTTCTTGATGTCCAGGAACAGAGTATGGAGGATATTGATGCAAATTTACTGAGAATGTTTCTATACACAAGACAGAAGTAAGAGTAGAGTTTGCATTAAATCCATTGCAGATGCATTTGATTTTGAAAAATCAGGGTTTCTTTTATGGAGTGTTTAAGGCAAACCCCAAATTAGTGTGTGTAGATAAGACATGTTACCAGTTCTCTTGCTTACCAAGATGAAAGGAACAAAGAAGCTTTTAATAATTTTAACTGATACCTTTTTCAGTTACTTGATTTTTGTACATTGCTCATCCTTAAGTGTGTATATCATATCTTTATCAAAAGACTCACGTAAAAAGGTTGGTTCCTTAGAAACCCAAAGCAACATGTAGATTTTACTATATACTATACTGGCTAAAATGAATAAAAAAATGGTTTTCATATTTATTTCTTTATAAATTGGTAAGTGATAATTATTGCATTGCATTAGTTTTTATAATGTTGTAAATATAAAATTATTCTTATAAATAAACAATCTAATAAATTGTGTTTATTATTTTTGTTGTAAATTTTCAAGAACAAAAAAATGTATAAATTCACATTCATAATTGGCTTAGGTTTTTAATGACACTGATGAGACTTTCACATTTCTCATGGGTGCTGCCATTTTGCTTTCAATCAGATACTGTGCAGTATAGATTAAACTAAATGACACGTCCTCCCAACACACAATATAATGAAAACACCTCACAAGAAAGGTAATTTTGTATGCTACATGTTTATGCTGGTTTCGAAATAGTACTTTTTTGTTCGTCCTCTACATGTGGATATAACCTTGACTTTCAATCACCGGGGGGGTAGGGTGGGTACGGTGATGACTAATGCGTCTGCTTTTCCCCCATCCTGCCTAAGTTTTAGTTTATGACACAAATTCTAGGAAGCAACGTTTCACAGTATCTTGAAAAACATGTGTATATATATATATATATATATATGGCAACAACAGGCAATATATGTAAAGATGTATAAGTACATCAAGTAGCAGAAGTAATAAGTACATCTTAAAAATGTATATATACATCAACAGCAGGTAATATATGTTTTGTAAAGACATATAAGTACATCTATATTATCAGATGTAATAAGTACATATTAAAAATGTATATGTACCTCAACAGCAAGCAATATAAGTTCTGTAAAGACATATAAGTATACCTATAGTAGCAGAAGTAATCTTAAAAGTGTATATATATACACCAACAACAAGTAATGTAAGTTTCGTAAGTACATCAGTGGCAGTAGAAATGCTAAAAAGTCATTACAGTAAACATAATAAATACCAAAAAAAGCATAAACCAAAATTCTGTTATTACAGATTGCTTCTTTATGAACATAGATTACTTTGGTTGTGTGGACTTTTACAAGAATTAGATGACAACAGAAAATGCTGAAAAGTTCTCAGCCCAATCCACTTCATCAAATATCAGATTTTTTAAAATTTAGAACATTTCAGTGCACCTTTGTATTACTGACAAATGTAGATTCCAGGTGAAATAAGTTTGTTAAACTCATTTGGAACTAAGAGTTATTTTATTATGTTATTTTATTTAGACGTGCAAAATCTGAAAATTTTAGCAAAACTGACACATTTTGTACAAATTATTTCTATTGATGTAACATTAAAATTGGCTTGCTCCTTTTCTTTGGAAATAAAGACGAAACGTTCAATGTCTAATTCCAAGGAACTGTTTCCTCCTCATTTTGTAGTAAAAGGTATAATTCACAACACAACAATCAAAAAAGTATTAAGTCATCAGTAGGATTAGATAGGTTCACTTATCACACATATCACCCCATTCTTTTGAATAAGAGCAGAGATTTATCACTTGTTTCCAGTTTAGGATTGGGTTTCTGGTTCCTCCTAAAATTTTCTCATTTTCTTTCACTCTCAGTAGCCTCCTGCATTTTAGTGGTTTTATTGCCTTGCTTGGAGTGAATTGATTAAAAAAAAATTGGGGAGACATCAATTTAACAGTGACAACTAATCAGGGATCCATGAATGATTCTATTGAGATAAAAATGCTTCTGATACAAATCACTGACAATAAACAGATTCAACCTAAAACTTGATAAATACATGCATGAAGATGAAAGTCATTGCCTGAGTGTCCAAACAGTGCAATGATAAATTATTGATTTATCTAAAAAGAACTTTACTTCTAAATTAGAATTTTGCTTACTCTTTAGAGAAGACAAACAACTATTAAACCATGTACCTCTTTTATGATTATGCATCTATCACTAGAAAAATCTGTAAAAGGTTAAATATTTTGAGGAGTTACTCAGAAATTAACATTTTAAATAAAAGAGACAATAATTTAAAGTATTTCAAATAAATACCAAAATGCATGCACACTATTATATATACTCTGATCATTTGTGAATATCTATGCTGATGATTCAATGGTATATGGGTGCACCTGCCTGGCAGTTGATCTCTCCTCTGGCTACTACATTCAATGCTGTGAAAACCAAAATAGTAACGTTCTAACATCACTGAGTGAACCCTGAATTTCACCTATCGCAATGAACAGGTATTCTCTCAGGAAGGTCACATGCTGTGCGTGCTTATTAGGACTTAAGCTCAAACTAGACCTCAGTTGGAAGTCACATATATGATTCATCATTAAAGACATTGGAAAAATGGTTGGTTCCCTGAGTTGCTCTAGTAAGCACCTGTCTCCATTATCGTTTACCTTTTAGAAAGAAAATACTCAAGAGACAGATCAGGACAAAAATGGATTACTACTGCCATTTGTGAGCAGGAGCAGGCCAGCCTTCATAGAGTTCAAAAGAGTTTCCACACCCTTGAGGGTGATGAATAATTATCCATCCTACAACTGCTTTCTCACAGATGTTGTTTCCCCGATTACTACAATCTTAATCTGTTCAAGTTTAGAGTTAACTGTTATAACCCTCCGCAAAACTGTGCCTCTTACTCTGTAAATATCTACCTTGAATGACTCTTGGGCCTTGTACAAAATGAACATTATTGTAATATATATATGTACTCCTGAAAAAAATTATTTGGTTGAGCTCTTCAGGGAGAAAAGTGAATTTGTAAACAGTGACTATTACTGCTGCTGATGCAAGACTCTTTGCTAAGATGAATCGAGTTCTTCTGTCACTGGTGTGTTTGTTTAAAAATAAATATATCTAAATTCACCTTCATCCCTGCTGTGTGCCAATGACTTAGGGGCAAAATCTCTGACTGATACCAAATCAGTTGGGTTTTGATCCTGGCTTTAGGCAATCAGATGTCTCGCCACATTGATGAGATGTGAAACAGAGAAACAGTCTGTCTGTGGATGACTATATATATATATATATATATTTACAATAACAACATAGACTATTAATGTAATAGTCTATGTTGTTATTGTAAATAACAAAATACATCTGTCAGTAAATTACTAAAGTTTAAGTGTGAGCAAAAAAGTGCTCAATATAAACAATAGTGCAACAATAGTTAATAGATAAATAAAAGTTCAGAACTTTAAATTTCCCACTTTATCTTTCCTAATGAGTGGTGTATTTACAAAACTTTAAATCAGAAGAAAAATCTTTGAACTTAAACATTGACACAATTAATGGATTTTTAAAAAATCTGACAATATTATTACTATAAACATTATTTGAGTGTAGGGGTTCTCAACCAGGGAGAGACCCTGGGGAATTTCAGGGTTTCAAGAGGGGGCAGGGTTAAATATTTTACTTTTTCTTGCTTTTTATTTACAGAATTTTGTTTACTGGATTACAATACCATGGCATTCTATTGAACTTTTTATCAGTTGAAGTATGCTTCAGTTTATTTGATAATTAGTTATGAATTAAAACAAAATCCTGAACATGTATTCAAGTTTTAAAAAATCCATCAACATTTTTTATTTCTATTAAGTTTGTAAAATCTCCTCTATAAAAATATTCCATGTAAAAAGAATGAAGATATTTAATCATATATTTGTATTAACTGGAACACATCTTTTGAGACAGACAATATTGGAAAGTGGGGAATGACATATGGTGAAAACCAGATTTTGTGACATGGACAGGGCTGAGAACTTTTCAGAACCTCCTCATGTAGAAAAAGTTTTCAATACATACGGAAACTCAAACTGCAAATTTTCTTTGCTGGTATACATAGTTTTAGCACGTTGCTTCTTCTTCCGAGCTGGGGCTGTTGGGGGAGGCATCAAACTTGAAGCACCCTGAGAATAGAGACAAACAGTAACATAGAAACTGGATCTATTCTTAAAATCTGTATTTGTAAAAGTATTTAAATTCAGTTCCTTTTTTAAATGATAGCAGCAAATATAGAAACTAGATGTGATTTGATTTGTTTGGTTGCTTTTGCAACATGTTTGGCTATTTGAAAAATTCATTCTGGAAATATAAATTCAATAAGGAACAATATCAAATAAGTATTGATATGAATTTAGCATTATTCTATTTGATTCAAATATCAATATAAAAGAAAAAAAAATCTAACAATTCATAATTGAAACTGAAGGTATCCATGAAGAAAATCTATAGAAATTTGAATCATGGATAAAAATATGTGTTAGTGTCAACGATAAAAATAAAAAAAAATAATTAAATGAGAGTTACATCCCTTTGGGATTTTGAAATCTCTATAATCAGAGAGTTCATTGAGAATTCCACAAAAACAATATACATATAATAAAATTTGTTTTATGGATGTGTAAGTAGCAAAACTGTTATTGACACAGAAATTGGAATGGAGTTCAAATTCTAGCCTGGTCTGTTGCATTCCCTTTGAACTAATATCCTTGGAAAAGGCATGAATCTGTCTCATCTCTCACCCCATCAGCTTTGGGTTAGATAGCTGGGTAGACAAGACTTTCTAAGTGGCAGCCAGTTTAGGAGGAGGACTACTCTGAATTCTGAGAAACACTCTGCAATTTTTTCTAAGAAGTCATGGAAATTCTCACATAATAAAGAAAAGAATGTGTGGAGAACAATGATCGTCAACTATTCTTATTATTAGTAGCATAAATGTACCAAAAATGGTAAATGTATTTAAGTAATTTTGCAATTGCAAAAAAAAAAAAAGAAAAAAAAAAAGAAGAAAAATGTGCATGAGTAATCTAGTATTTTCATCTCGATAATTACTTGTGTTGTATGTAAGAAAGAATTATGCTTTTTAAAATACTTAAAATAAAATTATCCAAAGAAAGCTAACATAATACAAAAGTAATGTATTATTAATGGAATTTTTTTAACTATTGTTCTCATCGTGATTATTATTGATGTTATTATAGACACAATGTTTTGACCAAGTACCTTCTGGCCATCATCAGGTATTAGTGATACCTGTTGATTATTGTGTTATTCTTGATCCTGTGATACCAGTTCTTGTTCATTCACTGCCTGATCCAAGGATTGAATGCATGACCACTATGCCATTATTCCAAAGAACATCAGTGGTGTACATTCAGACATTGAATATAAAGATTCTAAAAATACACCAATGATGTTCTTTGGAATGGTGGCATAGTGGATATAAGAGTCAGGAGTTCAATCCTTAGATCAGGTAGTGAAATAATATAAACTGATTCAGTAGGAATGAACAAGAACTGGAATCACAGTGATTCAATAATACAATATCAATAGATATTCTATATTAACCAATTGATACATTGATAGCAGGCAATGGAAGTTTCATAAAGATCTATAAATATGTCTACATCAGTGGAAGTGTTAACAGATATTGTATGATTGTTGGAAAATATTAATATAGTTAAAAATAACTTTTTGTAGCAAAAAGAAAGATTATGCTAAGAATAAAGTAAAAACTTTACAGAAATGGTAAAGAACATTTACTTTTCTAGAAAGAAAAAAACATTTTTTTTATCGAATGTTGAATGTTGTTTCTTATTGATGATAGCTTTCACAAATCAGAAAATTGGTTCTTTTTTTTTAAAAACTTAAGATAAAATACCGATTGAGTCTATATCATGTATTGTATGAAATAAAACCAATAAATAAAATTATTATAAAGAATAAAAAAATAAATTCATTTTCCCATCATGCAAGTAATAAAGAAACCAGAAAGGGTTTTTAGTCATCTACACAATTTTATGACCGCACTTCTGGAAAGGACAGGATCTTTCTCTTTTCAATGACATTGTTCGGACATGCTATGCAACCCTACTCATGAAGTAAGTAATTTGGTTAACTTGAACTAAACCATTTTAACTATAGTTATGCTTACTTACACTAACTTACTTCTGAACCAAAAAAAAAAAAAGAAAGAAAATACTCAAGAGACATTGAGAACTTTGTTTCACTACAGTCACCATAAAAAGAATAAGCAGTCCATAGTAGATACCAAGTTTTTGTATGATTCTTCTTTATCATATGTGAACATGGAGACACCTAAAATACACCAATATGCAACATTAACTTCCATAGTATATAAATTAACTTCCATAGCATATAAATTTGACTGCACAAACTGTAAAGTTTGTTATATTGGTGAGACATCTTTTAATCTCCATCAATGCACAAAGAAACATTTGAATGAGGATAAAAAGGCTATTAGATTAAGTTTTTTATATTTGATGAAAGAGAGCATTCTTTAAATAAAGAAAAAATTAAATCCCAAATATTATTCTTGAGGATGTAAAAAGAATTTTGTACAATTATAACAAAACCGTTTCTGCCCAAACCAGGCTTTTTTTCTTTTTCCTTTTCTGAAAATGTTAGCTTACTGAATTATCTTTGTAAGAATTTTGAATTATTATCAGTTACAAGTTGCATATTGTGCTTTTGCATTTGAACTGAATCATTTTAAAATTTTTTGGCTGATGAAGAAAATAGAAGTCCTGAATCATGTACCAACATTCAATAAAAGGTATTTACTTTGCATGTATACACCTACTTAGTCATAGAAGGAAAAAAATTATTGCTGCATAATTTCTGAAAAAAATTCAAATTCTTATAACTATTTGATATTTTACAGTTTAAAAAAATTAATTTTTTGAGTTTCCAAATTTATGATTTTATAGCTCAGCCCAGGTTAGGGGTTGTCCAGAATGAATTGGATGTGAATGTATTATTTCAATGTTTAATTTCAAACTAAGTCAAATTGTATGTGTATGTGGATAACTGTATTTACATTTTATACTTAAAAAATTAATCAATTTAAATCTTTGACTGCTGAAGGGAAGGGAAATTCTGAAACACGTATAAACATTTAATAAAAGGCATTTACTTTGCATTAATACAAACACATAGTTTTATAGTTAGGTTCCCAAAAATGACCCACTGTATTCTCGTTTATCTACTATTAGTTTGGTACCTATCATTTTGCTGATGATAAAAGTTTTTTGGTACCTGTCATTTTGCTGATGATAAAAGTTTAAAATCTTAATTTGTTTTTTTAATCATATCACCTCGTGCAAGGCAGTAATGCCACTAAAACACAAGGGGTCACTGAGTGAAAGAAACATTATTAAGTAGCGAGAGCAACAGAAGAGTAATCAAGAAGACAGAAGATAATGAGTAACATTGTACTTAAATTTTTGAAGACTTAACTTGGCTAAAAAGCATAGAGCTAAAAAAGAGTTCCACAAGCAAGAAGTGTGAGAAAAGAAACTGTTGGCATAGAACTTATAATTACATCTAGCCAATTCAACTGCAAATTGAAGAGACCTTGCAACCAATCTAGTACCATGCTTAAATTCATAAAGTCTAGGTACCATAGCAAAGAGTCCATTTGAACAATTACCATGAAAGCATTTTATAGAAAAGGTACACTGAAACTACATTATGGTGGTGGGGAAGTGACTGAAGGCAAGACATCAGGACCAATAATATTGCTGACTCTTCTTTGGATTTTATCAAGAATCTTTAAATATACAGCAGAACGGTATGTGGCAGCAATATTCAAAGAATGGATGAATAATAGATTTATAATAGATTCTGGAGAAAACAATTGTCTAGCACAACACAGTGAACCAACTTTCTTAGCAATAGACCTAACAATGTATTCAATATAATCTTTCCACTTCATGTCAGCCATTCATATTGCAAAAATTAATTTTGACAAGTTTTTAATTGTCAATGAAGTCAAATAACAATTTAACCCCAAATTAGAAAATTATTTTTTTTTAAAAATGACAAAAAAAAAAAAATTTAGCAATTTAAAGACAAACTTGTCAAGACTGCAGGAATTGGAAATAAAGTATAAAAGATACTTTCATAAAAAAAGCTAAAAATTCAAATATTAAATTTGATTATTAAAGTTCTGATATTTGATTTGCAATAATGTTAAAATTCATAGGAATAAGATTAGCGTTAAAAAATGGATCTTCCAAATTGAAAAAAATAAAGAATACTCTACAAATGGAGACTTTCTCCAAGTCTTAAAAAAATGTTCCTGGAGGAAGAGACCATTTGTAGAGGTAAAGTGAGGTAAATTTTAATTAGTCAAATTTTTATGTCTCAGTTTCACACTATGCCCTAACCAAGTGTTTCTTAGCCAGTGTGTCCCTGGAACCCTAGAATTCTGCAAGAGGTCACTAGGGCCGACCATTTTTCCTGCATCTTTAGTAATGGATTGTATGTATGGGTTCCACTTGAAGCTTGTAGTGATTTTCAGGCCCAATAGTTGCTCAAGGCAAGGAGCCTCCCTGAGGGGCCATCCATTCATTGTGACTGGTGGTAATTACATATACTATGAGTACATTTTAAATTAGAAATGTAATAAACCAGGCAAAAACGAATTCAAACTCTATCGGACAATCAGCCTAATGAGTCACATAGCAAAACTTATCTGAATTCTGACGCATAGAGTGAACAGACTGGGAATAGGAGCAATACAGTTTTGTTAAAGACACTGGAATGAAGAATGCAATATTTATTCTCAGAATTATATCAAAGAGCAATTCAAATGCAAAAGTATTTATACCTACATTTATAGATTATGCAAAAGTATTTGATAAAGCAAGTCACAAAGAACTGTTGGAAGTGCAAGGTAAGCTGGATTTATTTGAGAAGGATATTAGAATATACAAAAATAGAAAGAGGCATAAAACAAGGATATGTCTTCTGACCAGATTTATTTAACCTTTACAGTGAGGTGATTCTGGCAGAATTAGAAGTCCTACCAGGATTCATTATTGGTGGCCACAATCTTAATGTGAGATGGGCAGATGACATAGTGCTGATAGGAGGCAGGAAA